AGCAGGAGGGAAGTTGAGCAGAGGAGCAGGTTTCCTCTTTTCCTAATGAGTCCAACTCTATGAACTGTCTTTGAGCCTAATTCCTTCTGGAACAATTTTCAAAACAATCCTTCTTCCTCTCACTCTTGGGGCACAAACTGAGATTTTGCCCGAAGTTGAAAACTACTTATAATTTCCTTTCAATATAATTTGCCTTTCAGGAGATGACCAGATCTAGCAGGCTTTTCCATCATTAAGGTGTTGAGCCCTGAAGTCCCAACCCACGTACCAGGTTTCCAAGGTTTTCCCAGCCAGGAGGTTACAGTGATGCCGGGTAGAAGAGGCTGGTCGATGCCCTCCCAATATACACCGCCATCACTGGTCTCAGCGACGTTGGTAAACAGTGTGTTACTCTGCACTGTGGCCATGGCATTGGGATTGGTGGTTGCAGAGGTGCCAGGAGCCACCCCAAAGAACCCATTCTCAGGGTTGATGGCCCGCAGTCGACCTGTCAGGAGGAGAAGCGAATGAAAAGAAAGGGCCAACCAGGAAAAGGCTTAATAGGGTCCTAGCCTACCCGTCCTTGCCCTGAGCTCTACCTCAGATCTGATGGGGAAAGGCTCTGTCTGGCAGGGCTGTTTAGAAAAAGGTTCCCAACTACAAAGCTCACTATAAATGTCATAAGGATTCGGTAAGAGCTAGAAGTGATAGTGTGACTGGAGGGTCCCTCACCGTCACTGTCAAACCTCATCCAGGCGATATCATCCCCCACACACTCCACTTTCCAGCCTGGCAGTGCGGGCCGCATCATGGCCAGATTTGTCTTGCCACAGGCACTGGGAAAGGCAGCTGCCACATAGTGCTTCTTCCCTGCAGGGTTGGTGACACCCAGGATCTGTATGTTGGGGACAAAGAGAACAGGAGGTCACTGAAGGTTAGGATGTGCTATGTGTAAAGAAGGACAGTTAGGGATTCACATGGGGTGCCACTGTTTATTCATGAAGCAGATGAACTGCTTTGCCACCAGGCCCAAGTTAGCAACATTTAGCAGCATGGGGCAAAAAGTCAGTTTCTGGGAGGGTCCCTGACCAGCAGTATGGCATCTGGCAGGAAGGAGGCAAAGGTGAGGCAATTGGCCACCCCTGACCCACCCTCCACAGCTGCCCAGTTCCTCCCCAGGCCCTCACCAGCATGTGCTCCGCCAGCCAGCCCTCATCTCTGGCCAGGCGAGAGGCGATGCGCAGGGCAAAGCACTTCTTGCCCAGCAAGGAGTTGCCACCATAGCCGCTGCCGAAGGAGACGATCTCCCGCTGGTCAGGCACATGGCCAATCAGGGTTTTCTCTGGGTTGCAAGGCCACTGGCTCACGGGTTCCCCTGGGGACAATGGGGTCATGCTGGCAGTGGCATCAGGAACTGGGGTGTCAGGGGCCAACGGGATCAAGGATTGGCAGAAGAGATACTTGGGAGCAGTGGCAGTTGGCAGAAGTGGCTAAAGCACTCCTCTGCCTTTTGATACCAGTTAGCTCCCATGCCTCTATTAGACACAAAGACTGACTTTTCTCAGTCTTGCGCAAACTGTTCTCCAAACATGCTCACTCTCAGCCCACAGTACTTCCTGGGATTTGGGCTTCAGCTTTCACAGGATACAGGCTCATAGCATCTGTACAATTTGCAGTTCCCTCTGAGTGCAAGAAGGCTTCTCAGTCCTCCCCTGGGCACTCACCTTGCCCAGTCAGAGGCTGGCCAACAGAGTGAAGGCACTTGACAAAGTCCCCATCTCCCAGGGCCTGAAGCACAGGCGTCCCCAGCCGAGTCATAATACGCATGCTTGCTACCACGTAGGCTGAGTCAGTGAGCTGTACTCCGATGCGGGACAGTGGTGAGCCCACAGGACCCATGCTGAATGGGAGCACGTACATGGTGCGGCCTGAGGAGCAAAGTGTCACCCAAATGAAGGGCTCCAAAAGGGTCATACCTTCAGTGCCCCTGCCCCTGCATCCCTGCCCTGGTTACCCCGCATGCAGCCTGGGAACCTCTCATCCATAGCTCGCTGGAACTCAGCTGGGGACATCCAGTTTCCCAGCTGTCCACGGGCCCCCCCAGCTGGCAGGGGCACCGTGTCCCGCTGAGAAGGAGTGACAATCACTGTCTTGCTCTCTACTCGTGCCACGTCCTGGGGGTCTGTGCGGGCCAGCCAGCTGGAGGAGAGGGGATTGTCAAAAAGATGGTAGCCAGCAGGTCTCTTTCATCCCCAGGCCCACTTTTTAAAGTTCATTTTTAATTCTAGTTATTCTGTTTATATCATATCAGCTTCATTTAACATGAAAATCTCAGTTCCTGAAAGCTTCCATTCTTACTCATTCCACTAGGATGGTCTAGTTAAATATGAGTCCATCTTGGTAACCCCAAAAACGTCCTCTTTCCAAACTGTGCACATCTGGTAGATGGCTGGGCTCAGGGCTTACCAGTTATCATACTTGGGGAGCTTTCGAATGAGACCTTGCTGTTCTAGCAGGGTCAGGGTGGCAGTGTTCTCAGCCTCAGTCCCGTCACAGATATGGATGGCCTCTGGCTGGCAGAGGTGGGCACTGCGCTCCACAAAGTCCCGAACTCCAGCAGGCAGCTGGCCCAGATCTCCACTGAGTACACGCAGGGTCTGGATGCTGCGGCATGATGACCAGCACCAGGGGTTCAAACCCTGCCAGCTAAGCCTGGAGAAAAGAAACAAACAGGGAGGCGATTAGGCAGTTGCTATCATGGAGCACAGACAAATGATGGTGGTAGTGTGAACAGGATGCCTGAGCTTCTTCGGAAAGTGCTAAAGCATGTCCAGGTACAGGTACTGTTAGAGCAGGGTGGAGTTGGTGCGTGGGATGGGATCAGGGTGCATGCATCCTGTGGTCTTTTGGGACTTAATGAGGGTGTCCTGGTCAGCAAGAGTCAAATGAGCATAATGGGGCCCATCTGGCTGTGGAAGTATACATATAGGCACATTGATATTTTTGCAAGTGAAATCCATGCCTATATTTCACTATGCCTGGTGTGTTTAGATGAACATATACTCTTGGGCTCAAGTGTCAAGAAACTGCTTGGTTTTAAAAGCTTCGTGCATTTGCTATTTAAAGCCTCATTTGTGTTTTTTCTATTCACAAGTACAGTTTTATACATTAAAAGGGCAGCTGTTTTTATTTTCTCTTCTGGTATGAATGCTGTAGGTCTGCGAAAGCCTCAATAGTGCTCATCCAGTGCCAACTTTCTAGATTAGGGCTCTTGCACAAAGATGGGGCTGGATGTTGGGGTTCCAGGCACTAGATCTGCTACTACTCGCATGGGTCAGGGCTTGCATAAAAATTTTTCTCTAGGTAGATGCTTTTGAACTCTGTGAAAGGGCAGTAGGGAATGAATATTACTGGCAGGATTCATGCCTTGATTCCTAGCAGGAAAGGGTCCCCATACTGTCTGTTTTGTCTCTTGGACAGAGTGGCAGGGTCTGCTCTGATTGGCCTGGACCCAGGGTAGAATGACCCAGAGAGGCCAAAGACCAAAAGAGATTAATTACCCTTCTCATATGCCACAGCATTACCCCTCCGAAGCCCAGATAGCAGGGCGGGGGAGCATATGTTTGCCATGGCTTGCTTTCTTTTTTAATGTATGTATTGCAGAAGTAAGCAGCCACAGTTTGCTTTCTTATACCCCACATGGCTAGAGAGCTTTGGGTGTCGTTGGTAGGGTGGAACATCAGACTAGAAAAAGCCCAGACTCAGAGGCCATAAATCTGGGGAAGGGAGACCATGGATGTGAGTGCTTGGGCCTCTCTGGGGTGAGACCCGAGGTAGTTTCCAAGATCAGAACAGGATAGATGCCCAGTGTGGCCCAGAGGCAGGGAAGAAGGGCTCCTGGGATTTGAGTCTGTTCTTATCGGGAGAGTTTTCCCTAGGTCTAGTTTCAAAGGCACAGTCTTGAGGGCTGTGTCCAGAGCTTGGATCACTGCTAAGTCCCCACACCCACCTTTAGTAGCCCAGGTAGAATTTTCTTTCTATCCTTTAGAGACCACTCACGTAGTCTGGCCAAATAGAACAGGCTGTGGGACAGAGATCAGGTCAAGACACTGGAATAAAAGCTGCGGGAGGGGGGCGACAGACCAGAGGAGGCTGTAGGCGAGGACTGACAGGTAGGCCAAGTCTGGAGATTCGGGAGGAAGCAGAGGAAGAAGTCAGCCACATATAAATGGAAAGCAACGGTTTCCTACTCCCATCTAACTCCCTCTCCCCTGGCCTCTGGGTCCCTCAGGCTGCGCTGGGCTCGTTGCCAGGTTCCAGTTGGGGTTAGGCCGAGAAAGGATGTTTACCTTTTACCTTGTGTAAGGATCTCTGAGCTTAGAGCCCCAGGGGAGCATGACCCATGGGTTCTGGGCCCAACGGCTTTTCATGGCAACCCAGGGGGGAGGCTAAGACCGCGTCAGGGGTCTGAAAGCCTCAGGTCCGGGAAGAAGAGACGGATGTGAGGAGACTCAGGCCGGCCGGCGGGCGAGCGCGAAGGTGGAGGAAGTCCTGAGAGCCGCACACAGCGCGGCGCGAGCAGACAGGCGAGGTAGGAGGGGGAGGAGCGGGCGGCAAAGAGGAGACCTTGTGCTACGTGCACGGTCCGTGAGGTCCGGATGGGCACGATCGCCCGTCTCTCTCCTCTTAGGATGGGAAACCAGGCAGAGCCAGCCCCGAGGGCGCACGCACGGCGGAAAGAGCGGGGGGCCCCGTGTTGGGGGTCACTCACCGCAGGCCGGGGCGGTACACAGCAGCCATGGCACCTGAGTGGGGGCTGCGGGGCGGCCACGGGAACCGAGCAGTGAGCAGAGTCGGGAGGTAAGGAAGGCGGGGGAGCCGAGCCTGGGCTGGAGGCGCTTAAAAAGCAGGCTGGCAGGCAGGCTCGGGGGCGGAACCCCGCGGAGTCGTCTCCGCCCGTCCCGGGCGCCACACCCCTGCTCTGCACCGCCCCGCCCCAGAGCTTCTGCCTAACCCCCAAACTCATTGGAGGCAAAGGGTACGCTCCCGGGCTCGCCCAGGCGGCGGCCGGCCCGCTGCGGGCCCGCCCTCAGCTCCGCCACGCTGCCATGCACATGATGTAACTTTGAGGACTCTTGCTCCGGGAGATAGCGACGGAGAGTCACAGAGCGGCAAAGCAGCTGAAAATGAAGGGTGAGGCCAGCGGCTGGAGCCCTAGTGGTTTTAAGCTTGGGGGATGAACACTGCCTTTTTAGTTCTCAGGAACTGGGCCCTCCCAACCTCAGGCCGTGCTGTTCTCCCACATCCCGACTCTGGGATCCTCTTAGTCTTCAATTCCGAAAAACCCTTGTCTCTCTCTCTCTCTCTCTCTTTTTTTTGGCTAGAATTACTTTCTGCCTTTCTATGAAATGATGCGGGTCTCTCCACCCCAGGGACTCTTTTGGTCTTCTAATCTGGACATTTTCTCTACACTCTCCAGAGGAACTCTGCCCCCACCCAGCCACTACCATAAAATCCTTGAATTTCTCAAGCTGCTTCTCCATTTTGACACTTGTCTCAACTTGAGGCCGCTGGTTATCTACCATTCCAAATATCTCAGGACCTCAAACTCTGCATATTCGTAGGGGTGGGCATCCGCTTAGCATTTTCTGTCCCTTCTGGTAGCATGACCCTGATTTCTTTCTTTTCTTTTTTTTTTTTTTTTTTTTTTTTTTTTTTTTTTTTTTTTTTGGTCTTTTTCTTTTTTTTATCGGTACCGGGGATCAAACTCACGATTGCTTGCTTGCAAGGCAGGTGCTTATGCCGCTGAGCTAAATCCCCAGCCCCATGACCCTGATTTCTTCCAGGGAGCTATTACCTCTGTCTGGGTAGTCAGGTCAGTCTGGCCTCTTCTTGGAGTAGGCTACAGCTTGACCAGGCTGTGTTCTTTGCTGTGGTCACAGCAATCAGGAATGTTCAGATATGGACATGAGGGCCCAGTTTGAGACTTTTCCATAAACTCTGGAAATGAGTCTTCTGAGGGTGTGGTTAAGCTGATAGACCATAATAAGCTTGGCTCTGCAAATCAGGAACCTGGCTGAGACAGCAGGAGGAAGCAGAGCAAAGGAATGGAGCATAATGGATTCCTGATTTAAGTTATGGGAATGAATAAATTTACTCTCTAACGCAAGCTAATTGTAAGTGGATTTCTGCCACTCACAACAGAAATAACCTAGGGGGCTGGGTTATTGCTCAGAGGCACAGCTCCTGCCTGGCAAGCATAAGGTTCTGAGTTCAAGTCTCCATATCAAAAATAAATAAATGCATAAGAAATCATCTTGGTTCGCAAATATGTCTGAGTCCTATCCTGGAACAAAGTGACTAAAAGAGAGCTGGCCACTGGCCATGGGCTTGCGTCTGGTCCCCAACTCTTCTCACTCAGAGTCTACTCTGCACTTTATTCTTTCATACATTTGTATCTCTCCTCACTAGTTCCTGTATCCAAACTTTGTTCCATTCTGCTGCCTCTTGGCCACTTTCTGGGCCTAAGGGTATATATGCTGTTGGCGGCATGGTGAACCTTCTATCATCTTGTTCATCATCCTGCACCTGCTTCTATGATTTGTGACTCCCTACCTCTGTGAATGATACCACCATCTAGTCATCTGCCCAGAAGGAATGGGAATATCTATTTATCTGTCATTTTGTTTTTTGAGACAGGCTCTCACTATGTAGTTCAGGCTGTTTTTGAACTCAATGTGCAGCCCAGGCTGGCCTCAGTCTCAGGGGGATCCTCATGTCTCAGCCTCCTGAGTGTTGTTGGGATTATAGGCATGTACTACACGCCCAGCTATAACTCTATTATTTTCTTATCAGAGGTCAGAACCTTTGGCTTTGTTGTTTACAATGATCTCTCAAATCTGGGTCTGACCCCAATGCTTATTGCCTTAGCCCAGAGTTTATCTCTCACCTGAATGCAATTAATGGCTTCTAAGACACTTCTTGTACCATGTATCTCCTGTCTGTCTACAAAGCTACCTCCCTTCTGTGCTATAAAAGTTCAATTTGGATAAAAGAGAGAGAGAGATAATATTTATGGCTTAAGCAGTAGGTATTAAGCTGTATAATAGCAGCTGAATGTACATGATCTCATTCTGTTTCACAATAACTCTTTTATAGGTATGGACACCGAAGCTTTGAGAAGTTCAATTATTTGCTCAAAGTTACAGATCTGGTGGTCAGGTCACATGGAATCTGAATGTAAGTCTTCCTGACCTTTTACTCTACCAGCACCCTTCCCCCACAAATCTATATTCTACCTTTATCATTTTAAAAATTTAGATCATACAACTGGAGTTAATATTTTATTTATTTATTTATTTTTTGAGGTAGGGTCTCACAATGTACTCTAATTCACAATGTAGCTCAGGCTGGTTTTGAAGTTGCAGTGATCCTCCTGCCTCAGCCTCTGAAGCCTTTCCTAACATGTGGAATTTGCTATTCTTTATAATCTGACTTCTGTTTATCCAGCATTACCATTTTTATCTCCTATCTGTCTTTTTTTCTTTTACATTGAGAGGACCCACATTTTAGTTGTTTTTATCCTACCTCTTAGCAGTTATGTGAACTAAAATAGTTACTTAGTAAATGTTAGTAGAATGAAAAACTAATGACCCCATGTTTCTGAATCCTTCTTCCCACCATTACTTTCTTCTTTGGCTTTAGAGAGACTGAGCAGGGTACCCCTGTGAGACTTTCCCTACACTGATGATTTCCCCTTATCTGCCACCCTGTTCAGTTGTTCAGTTCTTTCCCTACTCCCCAGTCAGATGCAGTAGCTGGACCAGCGTCTGGGGAGTGCCACCAGGGGGCGGGTGTGACCAGCCTTGCCTTGGTCTGTGGTTTCTCTTGTTTTTGGGTTCATTCCTTCGTGTTTCACAGACCTCTGCAATGGATATGCTGGTGCACTGGCCAGATCCCACTGTAGAATGTGGTCCTTACTGTCTCTGCAGCTGATTATTGGCTGAGCCCAGTAGCTGCTTATCTGGGAGGGGATACATTTCAAAACCCCCAGTGGATGCCTGAAACCATAGTTAATGCTTAACCATGTATACCTGGAGATAATCAATATATGAATATATATATTTTTCCTAAACATACATACCTATGATGAAGTTGAGTTTATAAATAGGCACAGAAGGAAAATAATAACAACAGAATAATTATAATAATATATCACAATAAAAGTTATGTGAATGTGGTCTCTGTTCCTCAAAATATCTCATTCCTCTCTCTCTGTCTCTCTCTTTCTTTCTCTCTTCCTTTCTTCTTCCTTCTCTTCTTTTTTTTTCCAGTAATGAAGATTGGTAGGCAAGTGCTTTGCCATGGAGCTCTATCTCCAATCCCTTAGCCTTCTTAAGATGATGTGAAATGATAGATGCTTACTTGATAAGGTGAAGTGAGGCACTGTGATGGATACATTATTAAGCTGCTGTTGGTCTGAGGACATGTTAGAAGTAGGATCATCTGACAGCATCATTACTCCTATTTTTTTTTTTTTGAGACAAGATCTTGCAATGCAGTTCAGGCTGGGCTTGAACCCACTATATAGTTCAGGTTGACCTTGAACTTTGGCAATCCTCCTGCCTCATCCTCTTAAGTGCTGTGATTATACGTGTGTGCCATCATACGTGGTTTAACATCACTACCCTTGTACTTGTGGCCAGTATTAAGTGAAATAGGGTTACATGAATGCAAGAAGTGTGATGCCACGATATTCATCTGATAATGGAGACAGGTGCTAAGTAACTAGTGGGCAGGTACATACATAGTCTGGATTCACTGGACTAGGGGATGATTCATGTCCTGGGTTGAACAAGGTGAGAAGGTGTGAAATTTCATCCTACTATTCAGAACAGCATGCAATTTAAAACACATGAATTATTTTTGGCATTCACCATTTAATATTTTTAGGTCATAGTTGGTCACAGATAACTGAAGCCACAAAAGGTGGAACTCCAGATAAGAGAGAACTGTCATTTCTCCTTGACCATTGCCTATGGCTCAAATGAATGGAATGTACTGTTCCGTTCCCATGGGCATGTGTGTCTAACTGGCTGGTATAGGAGTACAAAGGTACAAAGGTACTCCTATACCCTTTGCCTAAATTTGGCACAACTCTGAATGTCCATCCCAGTATTCCTATGAAATCAACTGATTGGGATTTTAATGCACTCCAAATCTCCCCTCTTTATCCAGTCCTGCTTCTCTCTTTGTTTAAAAGTCCTTTCCAATAAGCCAGTGTACACAAGTTGGCATGGGCAGATGATAGGGCCACATATTTGTGCACAGAGCTAACCAAGATGATGTCAGGGTTAGGAAAAGATGTCTCAGCTGAGGGTCAGTGGTCAGAAGCTGCCTCTCCTCACAGCATCATATTCTGGTGCATGTGTGAATTTTTTACATCCCCAAACTCAACCCCCAAACTGACTCTGATTCCACTCACCCTCCCAAGTGCAAAGTGCTGAAAATGATCATTTTAAATACAAATCTAAACACATCATATCTTTCCTGGCACACTGAAGTAGAACATTACTGATGTACTTTTTACCTTTTTTGGCACTGGGACTCAAACTCATGGCCTTGCGTTTGCCAGGCAGGTGCTGTACCACTGAGCTACATCCTCAGTCTTTTTTTCTTTTTCTTTGGAGGCAAGGCCTAACTATGTAGATCAGGTTGACCTTGAACTCACTATTTTATATGTAGCCTATACTATCCTCAAACTCATAGCAATCCTCCTACCTCAGCATCTGCGTGTTAGGACTACAGGTGTGTACCACCATACCCAGCCTCACTGATTTTGGGATAAAGCCCTAATCCTTGGCATGGTCCACTAGGTTTGACATGATCCACCAGGTTTGGCATGGTCTGACTCCTGCTGACTGCTCCAACCTCATCTGTCAGCATTTTCCCCACCTTACTTGCTTTCTACTTTCTGGCTTCCTTTTTTTGTTTGTTTGTTTTTAGGTTCCATGAACATGTATGCTTCTTTCCTGCCTCTGGTCCTGATTACTCTATTTCCCCGAAAATAAGATTGTGTCTTATATTAATTTTTACTCCAAAAGACTTAATAGATTTATATTTAAGAGATGTCTTATTTTCTCATGTACCACAATCTACATTTATTCACATACAGCAGTCTACATTTATTCATGCACAAAAATCTACATTTATTCAAATACATGCCATCTTCTTCTGGAACACTGTCATAACTCTCTAAACTCTGAGTTCTAGCCTAACTTTTTTGTGACTCCGTTTCCTGTAGAACCATTGGGTCAGTCTCATATGTCCAGCAATAGAACTTTCCTTAAATGAGCACTTCTTATCCATGGAGTCTGCTTATAGTGCATTAGTAACACAGCTGTAAATAATTTTTTTTTTTTTGTATTTTTACTGGTACCAGGGATCGAACTCATGACCATAGGCTTGCAAGGCAGGCGCTTATGCTGCTGAGCTAAATCCCCAGCCCCTAATAATTTATTTTTGTACCAGGGGTTAAACTTAGGACTTTGCACTTGCTAGGCAGGTGTTTATGCCCCTGAGCTATATCCCCAGCCAGTAAAAGATTTTTGTCCTATGAATTCTTCATCTAAGTCACAACCTCTTGCACATAGGCTTCACAAAGTTTCCATTAAATCAAGTGTTAACTGGAGACTTATGACACAGGAGTGTCTTAACTTATGACAGTTAAGAATCATGATCCAGGGGCTGGGGATTTAGCTCAGTGGCATAAGCACCTGCCTTGCAAGCAGGCAGTCATGAGTTTGATCCCTGGTACCGATAAAAAAGAAAAAGACAAAAAAAAAAAAAAAAAAAAAAGCATGATCCAAACTTGAAAAAAGAAATCAAAGAAGATATCAGAAAATGGAAAGGTAACCCTTGCTCATAGATAGGAAGAACCAACATAGTGAAAATGGTCATACTCCCAAAATTGTTGTACAGATTTAATGCAATTCCAATCAGAATACCATTAGCATACCTCACACAATTAGAGAAAATAGTACTAAAATTTATTTTGGAAATAGAAGAGACCTAAAATAGCAAAAGCAGTTCTGAGCAACAAAAGCAAGTCAGGGGGCATCACAGTTCCTGACTTGAAATTATACTACAAAGCTACTGTGATAAAATCAGCATGGTATTGACAAAAAAGCAGACTCGAGGATCAGTGGAACAGAAATGCAACTCCTAACAAACTCAGCACCTTATCTTTGACAAAGGAGCCAAACATGTACACTGGAAGAAAGATAGCCTTTTAAAATAAGTAATATTGGACAAATGGACTTTCCATACGCCAAAGACTAAAACCAGACCCATGTTTATCACCACACATTAAACTAAAGTCAAAATGGATTGAAGACCTAAATATTAAAACAGAGATACTAAATCTACTGGAAAAGAAAATAAGTAGAAAACTTGAAGACATATGTGTAGGCAGGTACTTCATGAACAAAACCTAGACTGCACAGGAAACACTACAAAGAGTAAACAAATGTGATGTAACCCTATTAAAAAGCTTTTTTTTTGGTCTCTTTCCTTTTTATCAGTACCAGGGAATGAACTCACGACTGCCTGCTTGCAAGGCAGGCGCTTATGCCGCTGAGCTAAATCCCCAGCCCTTATTAAAAAGCTTTTGCACAGCAAGAGAGATCACCAACCAAGTGAAGAGACAACCCATAGAGTGGAAAATAATTATAGCCAGCTATTCTTCAGGCAAAGAACTTTTATCTAAAATATAGAAAGGATTGGAAAGAACCATATTCCCCAAATTCAAAGACCCAGTCCAAAAATGGGCATCTGAAATGAATACACACTTCTCAGATGAAGAAATACAAACTGCAAATAACTGCCTGAAGAAATATTCAGCATCACTGGCCATTCAAGAGATGCAAATTAAAACAACACTGAGTTTCCATCTCCAGAAAAAATGGCTATCATCAAGAAATCAACCAATAACAGATGCTGGTGGGGCTATGGGAGGAAAAGGAACCCTTCTCCACTATTAGTGGGAGTGTAGACTGGTACAACCATTGTGGAAATTGGCCTGGATATTCCTCAAGAAACTAGGATTAGAGATCTCTTTTGAGCCAGCTATTCCCCTTCTGGGTATCTTCTCAGAAGAATTAAAAACATCACTCACGTTTATGGTAGCTACAACTTGGAAACAACCCAAATGCCCATTAACTGAGGAATGGATAAAAAAG